GTAGTCCCAGCTACTTGGGAGGCTGAGGCAAGAGAATCACTTAAGCCCAAGAGTTTGAGGTTGCTGTGAGCTGTGATGCCACCACACTCTACCAAGGGCGACATAGTAAAACTCTGTCTCAAAAAAATAAATAAAAATATAAATATAAAATTGAATTCAGAGAGGAAGATTATAATAGCATGTTAAATGTCATTAAAAAAGGACAGAACAGGATAAATATGGACCATATTTGTGTATAATGTTCCTTCTATACAGTAAAACGTCTCAGGTTTACTTATTGATTATTCTCCCCCTAATCTTTTTTTTTTTTTTTACAGTTTTTTTGGCCAGGCCCAGTTTGAACCTGCCACCTCTGGTATATGGGGCCAGGGCCCTACAACTTTGAGCCACAGGTGCCACCCTTTCTCCCCAATCTTAAATTGTTTTTTTTAAAAAAAGAAAACTTATATATGTAGAGTCTAAAGAGTCACAACAGAGTGGACATCTGTGAATTTACTACCCAGCTTAGGAAATGTAACATTCCCACTTGGGCCTAGTGGCTCATGCCTGCAATCCTAGCACTCTGGGAGGCCCAGGTGGGTGGATTGCTTGAGCTCAGGAGTTTGGGACCAGCCAGAGCAAGAATGAAACTCTATCTCTATTAAAAATAGAAAAATTATCCAGGTGTGAGGTACCTGTAGTCTCAACTTCAGGCATGAGGATCACTTGAGCTCAAGAGTTTGAGGTTGCTGTGAGCTATGATGATGATGCCATGGCACTCTACCCCAGGGCAACAGAGTGAAACTCTGTCTCCAAAAAGAAAAAGACACTCTGGGCAGCGCCTCTAGCTCAAAGGAGTAGCCAGCCCCATATGTTGGAGGTGGTGGGTTCAAACCCAGCCCTGACCAAAAACTGAAAAAAAAAAAAAAAGACATTCCTGTCAAAGTCTACTACTTGCCCCCCCTTGGTGCTGTGCCCTCCCCCCCTCTTTAAATGTAACCACTCTTCTTGAATTTCTTTTTTATCATTCACTAGCGGGTTTTTTGGGTTTTTTTGAGACAGAATCTCACTTTGTTACCCTCAGTAGAGTGCCTTGGAGTCACAGCTCACAGTAACCTCAAACTGTTGGACTCAAGTGATTCTCTTGCTTCAGCCTCCCAAGTAGCTGGGACTGCAGGTGCCTGCTGCAACACCTGGCTATTTTTAGAGATGAGGTCTAGCTCTGGCTCAGGCTGATTTCAAACTTGTGAGCTCAGGCAATCTACCTGCCTCGGCCTCCCAGAGTGCTAGGATTACAGGAGTGATAATAGCCCAGCCTCACTTGCTTTTCTTTTTTTTTGAGACAGTCTCACTATGCACCCCTCAGTAGAGTGCTGAGGTATTACAGCTCATGGCAAACTCAAACTCTTAGGCTTAAGCGATTACCTTGCCTCAGCCTCCCAAGTAGCTGGGACTACAGGTACCTGCTACAACACCCGGCTATTTTTTGTTGCAGTTGTCATTGTTGTTTAGCTGGCCCAGGGCAGTTCGAACCCTCCCCCCTCAGTGCATGTGGCTGGTGCCATAACCACTGCTATGGGCGCCAAGCCTGCAGAACCTTTTTTTTATAACTCCTGAGAGAAAGCCTATACCTACCCATACCCAGTATTAATCTTTTATTTTATTTTATTTTTTTTGGCAGTTTTTGGCTAGGGCTGGGTTTGAACCCACCTCCTCTGGTATATGGGGCCAGTGCCCTACTTGTTTGAGCCACAGGCGCAGCCCCCCATTACTAATCATCTGTGTTTCCCCATTTCCTTCTCCCCACCCCATCCTCTGGCAACTCGTTTTTTTAATTGCCAGGTAATATTCTGTTGTTTGGGTGTACCACATATTGTTTACCCATTCATCGGTTGGTGGATGTTTGGATTGTTTCCACTTTGGGGCTATTTTGATGCTGCTGCTATAAACAGTCTTGTACAAGTTTCTGTGTGAACATATGTTTTTATCTCTGTTGGGTGTTTACCTAGGAGTGGAATTGCTGAGTCATGTGACAACTTTATGTTTAACAATTTGAGAAAACGCCAAACTGTTTTCCAGTTGTACCAGCAACGCACGAGGGTTCCAATTTCTCGTCGTTTTCAACAGTTGTTATTGCCCAGCTTCTGAATTATAGCCGTCCTAGTGGATGTGAAGTGGTATCTCCCTGTGGCTTTGATTTGCGTTTCCCTAATGACTTACGATGTTGAACATCTTTTCTTGCTTGTTGGCCATTTGTATATCTTCCTTAGAGAAATGTCTATTCACATCTTTTGCCTTTTTTATTTATCTATTTTTTAAGAGATAAGGTCTTGCTCTGTCACTCAGACTGGAGTGCAGTGGTGTGGTCACAGCTCACTGTACTCTTTTTTTTTTTTTTT